TTTTCTTCTGTTAATATCATTCAGTAACTCAATAGAAAGAAAATCATATTTTCTTTTTATTTTTAATATAATTATAGGAAGAATATTTGCTCAATCTTCAATAACATATCTAATTCGCTGATGAGAAAATTTTAACAGCTTATTATAACTTTTAAAAATTAAGTTTTAAAATGACTTGCTCTATTTAGGATACCATAGTTTGGTGTGTGATTAACTTATTCAAAAGGAAGCAAACAAAAGGTATGATTTCATAGCATAAAGAAATACTTTATGATTTTGAAAGTCAACACACAAAACAAACACATATAGCAGGATTAATGTTTTAAAGAATATTGAGCATATATTAAATATTTTATAAGCCATTTGGGTGTTTTCAATTGAATTTTCTTCACATTAAAGCAACCAAGTTGGGAGAGACAATTGATACTTAATTTACTACTGTGGCCTATTATTACTTCATTTGTTTGTTTGTTTGTTTGTTTTTGAGATACTGTCCTACTATGTTGTCCAGCTCAGTCTTGCACTCCTACACTCAAACTCATCTCTTCTTTCATAGTCCTGAGTTGCTGGGATTACAGCTGTGTGATATTGTGCCCATCCATGATATTTTTAAAATAGTAATTTTCTTTTTTTATAAATTTATAGAATTGTGCATTTTGACAAACAACAATTGACTTCATGAAACTCCACTTGGAATCTGAATTAAAAACATTTTAAGGTTAGATTCCACTTTTACTTTTCTATTTTTTCAACATGAAAATGAAATAATGAAGATAAAGATTTTCCCCTTTAAAATTTTTGTTCTTTTCCTTTCTTATGAGAAATAACAATCAGAGAAACCTGATAAGACCATTACTAGGCTTCTTCTATTTATTCATAGCTAGTGATATAAAAGTAAACATAAAAAGTTTAAGTACATGTTTATCAACTCTTTGGATTGTCAGTAAGTCTCTTCAAGGTTGGTCGCATGGCCTTAAAGACAGAGCACTTGCCTAATGTGCTGAAGGCTCTGGGTTCAATCCCCAGTATCACAACCAAGCAATCAATAAATAAAATAAAAACTCTTAGAAAATCAAATTACAAAGAGATGTCACTAGCTAACATCATATAGTAAGACTGTCACACCAGTCACAAATCCCTTTCCTACTTGCATCTTCTTCTCTGTCGTATGAAATGGTGGATTCTCCCCATCAACAGTTTCACTAGCTATTGTGATAAACCTGAAATCTGAAAAGTGCTTGATGCTTTTTACTACTGATGGGCCTTCGTCACTTCAAAGGACACCTAATATACTAGACATCAGCTGAGTCATCTTCAACACAGCACTAATCCAACAACCAGCTGACCTGGCTGACCAGGTGTTAGTAAAATAAGAATCTACAAGATGTCCCAGATACGAACATCCACCTAGTTGTCTAACAGAACTGAGATAAATGAATTTTATTTAAATCCACAAAATTTACAATTTTTACTAAGTAGATAAAGCTTAATGATACATACTCACTGATGTGTCGTACACAAAGTATTTATCCTCAATTAATGAGAAAGACATACACAAAGAAAACAGAACAATGGTATAAATGGTATGTATCAAATGTTTTTAAAAATTTCTTACTCATTGTCTTTTGCTACAAATAAAATCTTTACCAACTGCTTCATGTCCTTCCCCTGGGCAAGAATAAGTTTCTATACTTGATAATTTCTAAGGATTTTTGATGTTCCACTTTCTTCCTGCAATTTAATATATAACTGCTAGAGCTTAGATTTCAAAGGTAACAAACTGTAATCATTGTAACTAATATAAATTAGGAGTGTTTTTAAAAATCAGCAAACTAATGAGTTGGTAAGATGGATTGCAGAAATTTTTATACATATAAAACAAAACTACTATTTTTGTAGTTTACACAAAGTAAATACAAAACTGACCCTTTCTTATCTGTCGTCTAACTGAACAGTATGATTGGTTTGTATAAGCACATATTTAACTAGTGTTATTTATAGACAGGTAAGAGAATGTAAACGTGAAAATAATTCCTTTTAACCCAGCTTGACTGAGAAATCTGTTTGAGATTATCTAAGGCCAACAGCTTTCAGAGAAACCATTTCAGTCCATGCAGAACAGTTCCCATTACGATGATTTCCAGTAAGACTGACTCACTTGTGAGCTATCTTGTTTGGTCCAAGTAGTAATCTTAAGGATGAAGAAAACATGACAGGCATTCATAGTTTCATCTGCCATATGAATAGTTTTAGTGAAATTGACCAAATCCTTCATTTGGTAACCAAACTTTGGAATTCTTAAAATAGCCTCAAAACCCCCAAGAGATCTACTTAGAGCTTGTTAACATTTTAATATTTCATGACCACTAAAATGAAATCTTTTAAGACAGAGTCAGACTGTTACAGTACTTGATATTCTAACATCAATCACTTTCTAAAAGATAAACATGAATATGGCTATTCATAGTCAAGGGTACTTATAATTTGTGTTAACAGTCATTGTGTTTCTGAGATAAGCATAACCATTTTTCCATAATGATATGGGAACAGGAGAATAGATCAGCAGAGATGAAATTGGAGTTTCACAAATTTAACAATCTGAATTCACATGAGAAAAGAGTTACCAATTACCAAATGGAAATTGGCTTCCCTGGGATTAGACAGAAGAAGATGAGACAGAACTGAACAGAGTAAGTACTATTATGCCTATTACTTATTTATTGGAAATGAGAAGTATGGCCAGAAACCAATGTAACCACAGAGCACAAGGAAGCAGAGCAATATTCTGACTTTATTATCCTATACTGAACAAATATCAATAAAACATATACTTTAAATTTTTTTCCAAAACTGAACTAAGAGGATATTAACCACCTAAACAGATCTATAACACATCTTGAAACTGAACGAGCAACAAAGAACCTCCCAAAAAAGAAAAGTCAAGTACTTTATGGATTCTCTGCTGAATTCTACCAGACCTTTAAAGAACTAATACCAACCCTCCTTAAACTGTTCCACAAAATAGTAAGGGAAGGAACACTGCCTAATTCATTCTGTGAAGCCAGTGTTACTCTCATCCCAAAACTGGACAAGGACACATCCAAAAAGGAGAACTACAGGCCAATCTCCGTAATGAACATTGATGAGAAAATCCTCAATAAAATAACAGCAAACTGAATCCAACAACATACCAGAAAGATCATTCACCACGGCCAAGTTGGCTTCATCCCAGGGTGCAGGGGTGGTTCAACATATGCAAATCAATAAATGTAATACAGCATATTAATAAAAGCAAAGACAAACATCACTTGATCATCTCAATAGGCAAATAGAAAGCCTTCAATAAGATTCAACATCATTTCATGATAAAAGCTATAAGAAACTACAAGTAGAAGGAATGTATCTCAACATTAACAAAGGCTACCTATGACAAACCAACATCATACTTAAAGGGGAAAACTGAAACTGTGTCCCCTAAAGTCAGGAACAAGACAAAGGTACTCTTCCCATTCCTGAACATTCCCTAGTCCTGAACTTCCTACACAAAGCAATAAAGTAAGAAGAAGAAATAAAGGAATACAAATAGATAAATAAACATTCAAACTATCTCTATTTGCAGGTGACATGATCTTATACCTTAAAGACCCAAAAAACTCCTAGAAACAAACACTTCAGCAATGTGTAGGATACAAAATCAAGTTATAAAAATCAGTACCCTTTCTATACACCAACAACCAACAAATTGAGAAAAAATATAGGAAAACAATTCCACTTACAATTGCTTCAAATGCATTCTATATTACTATCAAATTTCAATGTTCAGGTTATTAGTTTTCAGGCTGGTAAACTTATTCATGCTAAACATTACTGATATTTCTCTAAAAGTCATCTAACATAATTTGTTTTTAGTTAACCATAATTTTAAGTTGTATGTATTATTTCTGAATCATAACAGCATTATAATCTCGCATCTTAAAGGAAATACATTCTCCAATTTCCCTCTCAGCTACTGTGTTCTATTTATCTCAGTTCTCAGTTCTTATCTTACAATGTATCATAGTTCCACTCTCTTTTCAAATGTTAACTTCTGTCTTTCAAGCATCACTTTATTAGTCTTGAGGTCTATGAAGGAAAAGATTATTTTTAAGTGGCTATATTCAAGTATTAAAAACAGAATATGGCACAGTACTGATACACAAATTCTCTTTTTTTTTTCAAGTTTTCAGCTTTAATAAAATACTACTACTTACTACATTTTGTTCTCTTTTCTCAACTACAGAACTGCCCTTACTAAGAGAGCAAAGTCTCTGTACATTTTGTTACCCCCTGTTAAAATGGGTCTAATCTTACTAAAGATGGAAGAGTGACTGGGAAGGGACTGAGGCAGCAGGGACGTGTGTGGACCAGCCCTAGCCCTACTTTATACAAGCATAATGGTCACTTGACCGCTTTTGTCACTCCAATAAAAGAAGGGGAGACCGAGGTCGTCCTCCAATTCTGCACACTCATGCAGGCTTTGGAAGGCTCTGCTTCATTTGGAGCAGTGAAGATACTCCAACCTCCCATTATTCATGCTGCACATCCTCAGTGAGACTGACATCTTCAACCTCCCCTCATCACATGCAACATTACATTCATCCTGGGGAACTTGCCACTCTATGTGCTGGTCTTCCAGCTGGAGCTTCACATCCCGAAGATCCCACATCATTTTTGTTTTGTCTGTGGCCAGCCTGCTCATGATCTCCGTCTTCTCGTCTTGAATGTCCTTCAGCACTGCTCTGGATTTCATTGAGCGCAATGCACTTTCCACTGGCACCCATCTTTCTGGAGAGCTGCATGTAGAGTTAGTGTTTTAGAACTTCTTCATTCTCACAGTCTTCTGCCATGACCTCCAAGAAGCAGTTCTCCCCAGACACACTGCTGATCCTGCTCTCAGAGTTTGGGGCCTCCTGTCCATCCTCTGCCTGCTCACTCAGGATTCTGGCTGCCTGCTCCAGCACCAGCAGCTGCTCCTCCTGATCCCCTTTGAGGCAACTCTGCCTCTTGTTCTCCTGCATTTGGGCATTCTCCTCAGGCACTCTAAATCTTTCCTCTGTTTCTGGGCCACCTTCTCCAGCTGCTGCTCTGCCTCCATAGGCCCAGCTGGGGGCTGTGGGAGCAATGGCTCTTGTAGCTGCCTCTTCAGTTCCTGGTGATCAAGGTGATCTTCAGCTGGCAAACTTCTTGGGTGCTGTACTCCTTATGCTCTTTCACAGTAGCATCTGTGCCAATGTTTGCTGCATCTGAGGACTGAAGCAGCCGGGCCTTGAATAGCTCCAGCTTCTTCTGATCTCCTCCATGCTGAGCTGCATGGCTTCTTTCTCAGCCACAAAGACTTGGTGGTAACCCAGTATCTGGTGAAGGTAACAAATCTTCACAAGGAAGATGCAGGAGCATTGCTGTCTTGGGGCACATGTTCACTAACAATGGGTAACTCAGGGTTACCACCATTTTTTAATCTTCTTCTTTATCTTTGCTCTTACAGGAACACCAGGGCTGTTCCTATGCTGAGATTTCTTTAGCATTTTCTTGGCTGCAAGCAATTTCTTAAGTCTGATTTCTTCAGACATATCAGGGCTGAGACAAGGAAGGTGGGGGGTCCACATGACCCAGTAATCAACCAAGTTCCTTCTCAAACACTCACCAAGATCCTTGTCCAACACTCACTATGATCTTCCTCCTCCAACACACAACATGATCTTTTGTCTTCAACTCATACCACAATCTTCCTCTAGCACACACCACAATCACTATGAAACACTCACTACAACCACCTTCTGTGACCTCTAGTCAGCATCACATCCTCCCACTTCAACTGCTAGCGGTGTGAATCAGAAGAAGCAAATGCAAGGGAATGCTAGGCAGCATGGAATGTGAAATGTGGAATGTGGCATGTCCTAAATCATTCCACACCACTGGTGAGTAAGATGAAGAAGACAAGGTTTATGAGGGATAAGGCAGGGTCACAATGACAGCAGGTAAAGCCCCTGCCCCAACCCCAACACCCACTGAGGGTGGGGTGGGGCCAGATGTCTGTGGGTGTCTATGCACAACTTTAAAGGCAATAGTTCTTGGCATACCTTCACAGAGTTCTAGTTACCTTGAGCACCTAAGAGGTTGTTCTCTGGCCATTGCCTTGGACCTCCTATAGTCCAGACCCCTGATTAAGGGGTCTCAGATCTTTGGCCTCAGGAGGTGGGTGACAATGGTCAGCAGATGACAGTGTATCACTTTACACTCCCTTTCCTGACTCTTCACAGCTGTGTCCCATACTTCCATGTTTTAGAAATCACATCCAGGTTATCCCCCATTCAGTCCTCCACACAGTCCCCTATCCACTACCCCTCCCCACATTCTTGAGAGTCCCTGACCTCAGTACAGAATATGACCCCCACCCAGCTGGATCTAGTTCTGGTCTCCTACTTCCCAGCTGCTGCTTTTCCCACACTTCCAAGGTACTCCTCTCCACTCAGAGTGGCTCATGGTCCAATCAGCCATACTCCTTGGATTCTTTTCCATGACCAAACCAGGACTACTCCAAAGTTGCAATGGGGCCTTCTGGATCCTTGGTGAATACATCTGTGTCGCTCCCCACACTTCCCTCTTCATCTCAAGAACAGTCCACCCACCTCAGCTCTTTAAGGTCTGACCCCAGCAGACCTGTTCTGAGAAACTCCAGGCCATTTCTTAATCCCTTCCCTTTTTCCTGGCCTCTGTTGTTCAAGAAAGTGTGATGCTCAATTTCTACCTCTTCATCTCTAATTTTATTAATTTGGATCTTCTCCTTCTTTCTTTAGTTACTTTGGTTAGGGGGGTTGTCAATCTTGTTTATCTTTTTAAAGAACCACCTTTTCATTTCATTGATTCTTTGTATTTTTTTATTCTCCATTTCATATTTTCTTTATTATTTCTTTTCACCTACTAACCTTAGGTTTGGCTTGTTCTTGTTTATCTAAGTTGCTGAGTGTTATTTATGAGGACATGCAATAAATTTCATTTCTTGATATAAAATCTGTATATTTTTCACCATGTGATAGTTTGATTTCTGTGTCTGATATGAAATGATCAAATTTGAGTAAGCAAAAACTATCTCTTCAAACATTTATCATTTCTTTGTGATGAAAACTTTCAAAATCCTACTTTCAGATTTTGTGAAGTATACAGTGTATTATTGTTTTCTCTAGTCACTCTACTATGCAATGGAAATCAGAGCATTTTTCTCATATCTAACTACATTGTGGTATCCCTTATCTGATCCCCTTCTATTTCCCCTCCTATCTCAGTATCTAGTGACCAGTGTTCTACTTTCCACATCACAAATGAATGTTTTTTATTCTCTGCACAGAAGTCAGAACATGTCATATTTGTCTTTCTTTGAGTCTAACTTATTTCTTTGATTTTATTTTGCATGTGTATGGTTTTTTGTTTTGGTTTGGTTTTGGTCTTTTTTGTAGGGCTGGGTTTAAACTCACGGCTTTGTGCTTGCAAAGCAGGTCATCTATCACTTCAGGCAAACCTCCAGTCCATTTTGCTCTGCTTCTTTTGGAGATGGGATCTTGAGTAGTACTGCCCAGGCTGATTTCAAACTGTGATCCTCTTGATCTCAGCCTCCCAAGTAGCTAGGATTACACGAGTGTGCCACCAGCACCAGACTCTTAACATTTCTTTTAACATGAAGTCCTCTTGTCATATCCCTTTTGCCACAAATGACAAGACTTCATTGTTATGACTAAATAATATTTCACTGCATATATGTATATACAAATTTTCTTTACCCATTTATCTGCCAATGAACACCTCCACTGACCCTGTGTCTTACCTATTTTGAGTTGTGCCACAACGAATATAGGAGTGCAGATATCTCTTTAATTGCCTATTCCAATAACCTGAAGTGTTTCCCTTTCTTTTCTTCTACTAATTTCATGGTTTCATGAATATAGTAGTCTTACATTAAATGCTCTGACCCAGTTTTTTTGAATCAACTGAAATGATTGCATAGGTACTTAATTGAAGGATCAATTAGTAAAAAAGTAAATATGTTGGTGAATATTTTGTTTTGGCCATTAAAAAATCCCACTAATTATTCTGGACAGATTCTCTTTGCTGTGAGCTTTAATAATCATCTGTATAATTATCAGTTCCAAATCCATGACTTCTTAGATAATGTCTAGAAAATTCCTTAAGTTCAATATATGAATGATGAACTTACTTTAAGCCTTCTAACCCTGTGCATCTTCAATTACAATATCTCAGTAAATGGCAGTCAGGAGCTCAGGTAGGAAATGGGGGTGTTTCATCTTCACTCTTCACTTCTCCAAATACCTTTTCCTCAACACCCCCAAAATCTCCAATAATTGTCCACTATCTCCTCCAAATACTCAGTGACCATCCTCTATATTCTGATTTACTATACTGAGCCAGTCCAAGATCATTATGGCTGACCTGGTCTGCTGCCATAACTTTCATGTTGTCCTGCTGAATCTGATTTGTTTTCCAAAGTGCAGCAGCAGGAATCTTCCAAAATCACAAACCATCATTGTTGATTTTAGTATAAGTCCAAATTTCTGAATTACTTTTCTTAACTCCTGGTTTCCTATACTTTGTGTCTTCTACTTGGAATACTTTTAGCTTCTTATCAGCTATATTATAATTATTTTTAGGCATGGATTCCCTGAAATTTAGCTTCAGATGGGCCCTTGTTTATATTCTCATGGTTCCATATACTTATATTACAAGACTCATCATATCTATCTGCCTTCCCAACTAGATAGCAATTTCTGTGAATTTATTTAGTATGTGTCTGCATCATTCAAGTAACTGTCAGTAAGTACTCAATAAATAGTTAAGAATGAATTAAAGTTAAGATTTTATTTATTTATGATCTATTAATTGATATATTTTTTGGTGGTACTAAGGATGGAACACAGATCCTTGCATGTGTTAAGCATTTATTCTATCACTGAGCTACACCCTTAGCCCCTAAAACTTTATTTTTTAAAAAAGATCAATCACTTATCTGAATCCCATTAATTCCATTAATATACTATGGATTTTGGTTTTCAGAGTTTATATTTGTTAATAGTTTATTATTTTATTCTAATAAAATATACAGAAGAATTATGCCATTTAACTTGAACAATTGAATACTTGCCAAGATTTTCATTCATGAACTCTATGACATTCACTGGCAATAGAAATTTTCTGTATGAAAAGAATGTGCTAACATCCAGATCCAAATTACAGTGTCACTAGTCATATGAACAGTTGACTGAGAAATAATTTGGGCCTTAGCCACATGGAGGTCCCTTCACAAATACCCTGGAGAAAGGAAATATTCGGTGCACATCTGGCAAACACTGGTTAATCTGTCTTTAATTCCAAGGATGTGAAATAGGGGATTTTTCTTTGCCTGTTTTAAAATAAATTTTTCCATTTGCCTTCTGCAGATATCAAAAGTGAGTCGTAATAATCTGAGACTGAGCACATTGAGATGTGTAAGTGTGTATGTATAAAGAATGGGTATGTGCGAGACAGAAAAGAGAGAGAGAGAAAGGGAGTGTGAGATAAAGTTGGATACTGAAGTACACAGAAGAATCCAAAAGAGAGTCCAAAGAAAAGCAACAGTATCTACTGAATGAAGTTCACAAACCTGAGAAAGTCGATTTTGCCAAACTACCACACATAACACAGAAACGTAAGCAATGTGAGGATTGATTTCAAGAGTGTTGAAGTGTTCAGTGTTTATTTGACACTAGATGCTTTGTGAAAGAAGAATAAAAGTACAAAATTGGGTGAGTATCTTTTTTTAAATAAATAGCACCAAAACCTAAAACAAGACAACTGCAAAGTACTGAGGTGTGAAGTAAAATCATGACTGGAATTTCTCTAGGTGTGTATTTGAGTTCTTCCTTTTCAGATTAGCTGCAGTGGAGTATCTGTTTAATTGTAGAAGGAACATGGTAAATACAATTGTTAAACTTGGGTCCGAAACACAACTTTTTCTAAGAAAAGATAAATAAGATCATTTTCTTTTCTTTGTAAATTAAAAATAATTATATTTAAAATGTTACAGAATCATAGCTTAGTTGACTCAGAAAGGAGAAAAGAAGGCTTAGACATTTTTCTTTGAGATTGATGTGTCAATAAAAACTCAGCAATGGTCACAGCTCAATTCATATTTTGTTAAGATATTTCCTTCAAATAACTTGTATTTGAGTAAAATTCTAGTATACTGTGTGTTTTCTGCTCTGTGGCTACCTACCATCAGAGAAACAATGACAATAAAATGTCTCAAAAAACAATTGATGCTCAAGTAGAAAAAGCAGGATGGGCTTTAATTTTCTTTACAAAGGAAAGAAAATGATCTTATTTATATTTTCTTAGAAAAAGTTGTGTTTTAGACCCAAGTTTAACAATTGTATTTACCATGTTCCTTCTACAATTAAACAGATACTACACTGCAGCTAATCTGAAAAGGAAGAACTCAAATACACCCATAGAGAAATCCCAGTCATGATTTTACTTCACACCTCAGTACTTTGCAGTTGCCTTGTTTTAGGTTTTTGATGCTATTTGTTTCAAATATTTGGCCCAAACAATTAGTTTTTAAAATGTGAATAAACTTAAGTAATATAGATGCTAAAGACATTATTAATAAGCATTTTATTCAGTAAACAATCAGTGTTCCCTTAATATATGCAAGAAAAATATGGTCTTGAGAAAGTTGTTGCAGAAATACAAGATAATATGTTTGGGCCCTGGAGGTCTAACCTGAAAACTCAGTTTGATTTTCCTGTATATGCTAACCATTTAAAACTATTTTATAAAATAGCAAATGTTACATAAGGAACTAAAGAAACTTAAACTTTCACTGAGCTTGTTTTCTGTTATTTTAAAGTTAATACTACCTGTATATGAAATTAGAATTGCCATAACTACTATGATATGCTAAATGATAGAGCAAATACAAACTGAACGTATTTCTTCCAAGAACCACTAAATACACCTCGTGGAAAGGTGAAGTTGCATGAACCATATAAAACGTTTTCCTTAAAATGATACAACTATCCAATTTTGATTGTATAATATATAATTATAAATCTGAATAAAATTTAATTCCATCAGCATCTAATTCCCCACAAGTATCATTGATCTAATTGGAATATGTCAGTGTGCTTAGTTTTTAAAATGATGCTGCCCATAAATCCACTCATCTGACAAAATGATGAGTGTTGAATTAATGTTTTAAAAGATGGCCTAGAAGATTGAAGTATTTACTTTAAAATTCTGTGAAGATACTGAGCTTTTAAATTATTTAACATATTTCTTTCTTTCTTTGATTCAGATTTGGCTTTTCAACATGTTGACAAAAACATTATATACTACAAATCTGAGGCACTGTCAATTTAGAGATGGTGGACTTAAAACAACGACATTAAAATTTAATTCTTTTCACACATTCCTAGTAGAAATGTGTATAGCTAAAATTTTCTTCAGAAGTATGAACTTTTTCTGAGGATACGACTTATAATAGACTCTGAAATTCAACTGTATTTAGAGATGAAGTCAAAGTGATGGCAATCATTTTATTTTTATGGTGCTATGTCAAACCCCCTAAAATTATCTCTGAGTTCTAGAAGCCTTAGAAGAGAATCATCTTCAAAGTGAGTTAAATGAATAAAGCACCTCTCATCAATGATATAATTGACTTTTTCAGATATAATTACACTAATGTCACAGTAGAAAATTTAAAAGTATATTTAAAAAATAAAGTGCACAAAAATCAAACAACCAATAGCCAAAACTGTAAGCTTTATTTCATTATTCTCTTTTCATTGAACTTATAGTTACGGTGCTGTTACTATGCATAGGCACTAGGTTAGGTACATCAGATATCATGATGGGTAACACAAACTGATCTCTGCCTTTAGACGCTAATACTTTTCTTCTTCAAAAACATTTTCAAAAATCCAAATACCCAAGTTTTCTAAAGATTATCATATTTGACAGATCTTTATTCAGCAACATTATTTAACAAATATAATCCATCTTGTATTTTTCTTGGTACTAATATGAAAAAAAACTTTTTCAAAGTTGAACATTGAATTCCCTTTAATCAGTGAGAAAAATCTCTGCCAAAATTTATACAGTGTTAAATTATTTTAAAGTACAGCCATGTCCTTAATGAGGAACTATTTGGAAATCATGAAAAGTTACCCTAAATACAGAACTATACATGCCAATGAAGTACTTCTCAGATTAAATCATTTTGAAATGTAATCAGTGACTCTAATCAATTTTTGTAAAGCAAAATTTCTTTAAAAACTTTTTGTCAGTGACTGACTCGCTGGACTCACAGGTACTAGGTAAGAGCTCTACCTTTGAGCTATACTTCCAGCCCTGAAAAGACAAGGAGCACTTGGGATACTATCTTCTTCATATTCTTAGAAATACAATGTACATTTATACTGCTAGAATAATAGTAATTTAGATGAGCTACAAATTTGTAATCTACTAATAGCCTTAGAAAAAGTCCTATTTCATTTTACAATAAAAGTTTAGCTTGAATATGATGCCTTGGGAGTTATTTATTTGAGAATAAATATTTAAATTATACTAATACTGGAGACATGAAGATTTCTTTTATTCATGTCTTTTTATAGTATCTTTAATTATAGTGTTAATTACTGAAAATGATTTATTTAAGAATACCAAAAATAAAAATACAATTTAAATATAAGCTGGAAATTTTTTAAAAAACTAAATAAGAGTACCACAGATAAAGAAACTCAGTATCAATCTTTCACACAGATTTTCCATTACACACCATGGCTAAATTTGTCAATCACTCATGAAAACCAAGAGGATAACTACTGAAATGCTTAAATCTTGCACTTACCAACCTCCACAACACTAGAGCAGTTGGGATCTGTGAAGCCATCTGGACACTCACAAGAAAAGGAATCACCAGCCAATTCTGACAAACAGATACCTCCATTTTCACATGGGTTGGGATCACAAATATCACCTGAGGAAAAAAAAAAACAGACTGACTTTTTTTTATCTTGGCAATAGGACTAATTCACATACCCCATTGATGTTCCTTCGTCAAAGTTACCTTACTATTTGGACTTACACATAAGATATTCAAGATCTATTTGAAAGCACTTGTTTTTAAGAGAAATGATACTTAACATGGTAGAAATTAAACTCTATAACTGAAACATTGCATCTCTTAAAGCTGTTAAATTAGGGTCCTTCAATACATGAAAATGAAAATTTTGCCTAATTTAATTTAAAGAAGATTAATCTAACATCTGTGGTAAACTGGTTTCATTAATTTCATAAACTGCTCTCTATATTAAAATGCCTTGTGTAACTTTGAACCTCCTTTCACTAAAGAGGTGGCTCTATTTTTGAATCCTTAAGAATCTGGGCTTGTCCTCAGGACTTTCTTTGGCCAACAGAATGCTAACAAACTTGAAGCTGCAAAGGTTTGAAAAAGCACATGAAAATTTCTACTTCCTCTCACCTCTGTCATAAAAATGCATTAAGACCACCATGCTTGAAAGAGGCAAGAGAAACATGGAATGATAAGAAAGTGCCACAGAGAAGTAAGTTGTACCATAAGAAAGACCTACAATATGTAACTGTCTTTGTTGCTATATGGTTTAGGAAATCTGGAAGTGTGGTGAGAAAATGGCTATAGGAAGCTAGAAAAATGAACACCAATGTTACCTAGAGAAAGGCAACTGGTATAGCTGTGACCTGAGGAAACTTGGGAGTCAGGAAATGTAACTGATGAACTTTTGGATGTGAGCAATGAGTTTCCAGACAAACTGTTAAAGTTCAGTGGCTACAAAAAAGACATACTTGATAAAGAGCCAGTAGGTTTGTAAGTAAGGAGTCAAAACATAGAAACACCAGGTTTCTCAATTCTAGCCTCTCAAACCAGTAAAAGGTCACAAATAGAGCTTTGACAAAAGGACATGACCCAAAAGAGGTACAACATCAAGGATGTATCCATAAACAACTTTGTGAAAGCACTTCAGATAATTCATTTTGGAACCTAAGGGGCCCTCTCAGGTAGATAAAAGTTCATCTAGAAAAACTTAAAGATTATCCCTGAGCAGCCTGATATAGCTAAAGGAGCTATGGTCAAGATTTGAAACAGAATCATGGGTGTGGCTTACTGTACAAAGAGAATTCAATCAGAATCTTAAAAGCCCTTAAAGATTTTATGCAAACTGTATGTGCCACCTTTAGGACTAAAACAGAATGGAGCTTTTTAAAATTAAAAAAAAGCGTTAGAGTCCCTACTTCATAATTGTTAGGAACTACATTCCTTTATAAGAACTTTCTCATTAATTATTTCATCTCTTCTCTGGATTAACCACACTAAAATGTTAGAAAAATAAACTTTTGTCAAACTACTAAAGTAAGTCATTAGCCATTAACAATAATACACAAGCACTAGAGTAGACCTTAGAAAATAGACTTTTAAAGAAATGAATGAATATGTTTTAGAAATACTGAAGTATTTAATACTAGTGGACCATGATGTATTTGATTGGCAGTGGATGAGAGCTTGTAGATATGTGACATCAAGAAAGATTCAAAAGTGATACAATAATTTATAAAATGAAGAGTGAATGTTTTTGACATGAATTGTAAAGTTTTGACACAGTCAAATCTATTTATGACAATCTTGGCAAAATTCTAATTGGTGCATTTTGAATGAGGAAGTTGATGACTGATAGATATTTAAATAAGATTTCTGTCTTTCTCCTTATGTATGTTAGTACAAATGGCCATTCATGTACTCAATGGTGTATCCTTCTATTCCTTGTATGGGAAACATTTAGGCAAATGCTGAGTTTCAAATTAAGGAAAGTCTTTACCAGGGCATGGAATGGGAGTATACTCCTGTAATTCCAGCTACTCAAGAGACAGAGATCAGCATGATTACAGTTTGAGGCCAGCCTGGAGAAAAAATAGTGAGACCTCATCTCTACCAACAAGCTGGGAGTGGAGGCGTATACCTGTGATTCCAACTACCGGGAAGCATAGTTAGGTGGATCACATTCTGAGGCCCACCCCAGACAAAAATGTGAGACTCTATTTGAAAAATAAATAAAGCACAAAGGAAAGGAGGCATAGTTCAAGAGGTAGCGTTCCTACCTCACACGCATAGGCCTTAAGTTCAAAACCCTAGTACCACCACCATCAAAACAACAATAAAAAAGACTTTGCCATCAAGAAGTACAGAACCTAGTACAGGAGATAAAATAAATGATGGAGGGGTGAACTCATCTATGATATATTATAAGAACTTTTATAAATATCACAATTTAACTCCAGTATAATGGTAGTTCAAAACTTAAAAAATAAAATAAAAGAATAGGAATAATTACAATTACATGACATAGTCATAAGAACGGTGATTATTATACATGATCCAAATTGTGGGATCAACAGACTTCTAAGGGAGTCACTGCTGTCAGATGATGAAGATGAAGGATGATGTATGCTCATTATTCCAGGTAAAAGGAATATTCAAAGGAAAAGATCATGGTTCATTCTAAGACCTCCTAGTAGGCAAGAGAGCTAGAACACAAACACATGTAAGAATTAGTGATATAGTTAGGTCATATAAACATAAAAAAGCCTGTGCAATGAAAGGACTTGTAGCATTTATATTTAAGCACCAGAAAATCATGAAAATTGTCAGGGATGGGAAAGCATATGACCACATTTGTGTTTTGCAATGATCACTCAGGCAAGCACCATATGGGATCAGATGGAGGAGGCGAAGCTGAGGGCAAAAGAGCAAAGCATTAACCTTTTGAAATAGTCCCAGCAAAAAAAAAAAAAATGATGAGGATTTTCTCCATCCACCTTAGAGATGGCTAAGGACAGGGAAAGCAATAGTAGCACCATGTAATCTCAAATCCAGTTCATAAATACTAGGTCATGAAATAAAAAAGGAAAATCCCCCAAATTACTACCCACCCTCTAGATGATTAACCTAAAAGCAAATGTGTAATTGTTGAGGTTTTATAAGACTCAATCACCAACTTAAATGTGAGATCATGCTGCTAACAAAACCATAGCAGCATAGCTTTGGGCAGCACTGTCACTCCAAACAGTCCATGAAGATGAGTATGAACCCCAAACAGGTTTTCAACATCAATCATTATTCCATATGTTCAATATTACCAAAAAGGAGATTTCTACATTCCATTTATCTCGATGTGCTGTTTCAGCAAACTCCAGAGGGGTAATGCAAGCTGTAGACACTACATTGATTTATTTATATTGAAAGAAACAGTGTCAGTGGGATAGATACAAGGTCTGAGCAGTATTCTAGAGGTTGTCTAGCATAGGACATATTTTTACATATTTATTCAAAATCAAGAATTTCTCATAATATCTCTCTTTCCTGTACTCAAGTTCCTCCAAAGTAAATTTACTGATGCTGGGGCACATTCCTAATATACCTAGGGCCACAAAAAGTTACTATTCTTGCCCCTTTGACTATCCTACCATTCTGAGAGTTTTCACTATCTTCATAAATCTTTACTGGCACCTGTGCTGCCCTTTCAGATGACAAAATTAAATGTAGTCAGTTTCCTACCAAGTTTGCATGCCAATCATATAAAGCTTCTGTGGTCAAAATGAGACAGAACTATCCACTCATGTCTCATTTATATCTTAGAGTTGATGGCTGTCCTTTAGTTGGCCTGTTCTTTTCTCCCATTCTTGCACTTTTGTTGTTCTCTTTTGCTACTCATTTCTAATACACTATAAAACTTGTGAATAATTACTTTTAGTTAACAGATAAGCTGGTATTTTGTGTGTAAAATGATGTTCTGAAGTATATATACATCATGAAATAACTAAATCCAACCAATTAAAATAATCATTCACTACTTCACATAGTTATCTTTTGGTGTTGAGCACATTTTTACATGTATTTTCTTACTGTATTCATGAATACAATATATTGGTGATTTCATAGTGTGTGTGGAGAAGATTGTTTTGTTGCTTTCAGGCTAGGAATCAAGACCAGGACCTGGTGCATGCAAAGAAAGTCCTCTACCACTGGTTTATAATTCCAACCCCAAGATTATAACATCTTTTGAACTGCAGTTTCCATGTTGTATCTCACATCATTAAGATTTACACAGTGTATTTTTCAAAGGGAGGAAAGCAATAATAGATTTGATCAAAAAAAACCAAATAGATGACACTGTAACCACATGGATGTGGTACTTGAAGGAGAGCATAAATATGGATTGGTTTCTTGACTTCTTCCCTGTATGACCCAGTAGCCATCTTGGTAATGAAGTCTAACGGCTTTTATTTTAAACAAAGTATTATGTTTGAGAAGCCTGGAAACATCCAAAATAAAAAGGTCTACTAATAAAGTTATTGAATAAGCAAGTATGAAATCAGAGAGGTTTTGCTTCAACATGAATTGGTAAGTCTGAATGTCAAAATGTCAGTGAGAATCTTGAAGGAAGGCAACAAGAGGCGAAAGGATGCCAGGGAAAGTAAAAAAGGTTCTTAAGAAGAAAACAGAAGGGATTTCACTCTGGGTCCTCTTCAATATAAATGTTCAGTTTTTATAAGTGGAATGTAGTTTATCAAGGTATAACTGAGATTAATAAACACCCCACATGAAATGGTGTTAGTTGGATAATGTTAGTATAAAGCAAAAATTTGGTCTTGGATGACACAGAGGATAGATAAAAGAATTCTATGAAATATGACTATGTAGGGATTTTTACAGGGCTTTCTTAGAATCTGTTTTGTCACACCCAATTATAAACAGCATCCCTGTGGGAATTCAGTTTTCCCGAAAGTAGATGCTAAGATGATGTTAAGAGTGTAACAAGTTTAATAGGGCTGGGAATATATATAGCTCAGTGGTAAAGAACTTGCCTAGCATGTGTGAGACCTTGTGTTCAATCCCCAGATATAGGGAAAGAAAAATGATTTAATCAGTTTCTTGAGAATAATGCA